AAGCAAGTTGATGGTAATGCCATAACCAATTCCACCTTTTTCAGATGTATAGAATATCTGGACTTGTCCAAAAACATGTTAAATATGGGTATGCTCATGTCTGTTGTAATTAACGTACACTTCATGGAAAATCTTAAATATCTAGATTTGTCCACACTCAGTAGAATGTGTAGTTCTCTCACTCATACATATAACACTACCATACTAGGAGGTTTTTATCTCCCAATTCCTCCCAATCTCAGTTATCTAAACCTGAGCGGAGTTGACAATGCTAACCATGTACGTGTTGGTGTAACACTGACACAAAGCGATCATCTGTCTGTGTTAGACTTTTCAAGAAACGACGTGTTAGACATTCCTGCATATTTAGAATGTTGTAAAAATCTGAAATTCTTTGACATATCGCACATGAAGATCCAACAGAATGTATTCAACAACACCAACATGGTGACGAATCTGGAAACATTGCTTGTTCACGATGTGACGTCAGATGATGACATGTTTGTGTCCCCAACTGAACCCTTCTTTCATGCCATGCCCAAACTAACAAGACTCGATTTGTCAGGCAATAATCTACAACTTATCAACAAAAATACTTTTAGAAACTTTAACAAACTGGAAAACCTTTCTCTTGCAAGAAACCGTCTAAATGACCTTCCAGAAGAAATCCTGACAATGGTTTGGCTCAAACATTTGGATGTGACATCGAATTCCCTCTCAGTCATAAGTAAATACCAACAGACCTTGCTTGATGTCATCGTTGTGAATAACGGCTCCTTCTACCTCTACATGGCAGACAACATCTTCAGCTGCAGCTGTGGAACCCTTCACTTCATACAGTGGTTACAAGAAACTGATGTCTCTTTAGATGACCATGGCAACTACAGTTGTATCCTTGGTGATGGAACGTTGTCTGATACAGCCACCTTTTATGCCAGAAGGACATTCCATTGGAGAACATGTGTTGGCCAGTTCTGGTTGGCTGTGGGCGTAGTTGGAGACCTAATTGCGCTATTGTCTTGTAGCCTTTCTTGTCAAGAAATATTTCCCCAAAATAGAGCACTGTGTGTTACAGGTACTTGGTTATAACCCTGGACGCCAAACACAAAGGGAGGATTTTGATTATGACGCCTACATATGCTATGAAAGTGCTGAGTACGATTGGCCTTGCCACCGTCTGTTCAAGGAGCTCCCCCAGGTCTCCCCAGGTATACGACTGTACCTGCCCAATCTACATGAACCTGTAGGATGTTCCCAGGCAGAAGTGACCATTGATGCATTGTCGAGAAGCTGGAAAATTGTTATTGTGCTAACAGAGAACTTTCTGAAGGACGAGTGGATACACTTTACGGTCCTGTCCACTGTCCGTCTAATGTCCATGAACAACGCAATATCAGACCGAGTGCTGCTTCTGTACAGGGATATGTCCTTGGAAGCAAGAGCTCGGGTTCCTCATCTTCTCCTCAACGTTGTTTCAGAGGAACATATTCTGGATGTGGAGGACAGTCCCCACTTCTGGACACATCTGTGTCAGTGTATCCTTAACGATAAACCCACAGCCTTATTCTAAAGTATACTACTCTAAGGAGCCGTGCAGGAAACAGATGCAAGTCCCCACGGCCCTTAGTATGGTTCCCAAGCTTCCGTTGCTAGCGATCTTTTGCTAATTTTTATCTCGTATCGTTAAGCCTCAATGTAATAGTTTAAATTTCCTTGAACTAGTTATAACAAATATGTGATAACCTAGTTTCTTCACTGTCTTTCGTTGACAGGGTCTTACAATTTTGCATTTATCGTGACTTGGTTTATTTACGATATGGCTACTCACTACTCACTCCCTCATAAGTGTATTAATAATAGATTCCGGTGTTACACCACTAATAACCATTCAGTCCATTGACAACCACCAGTAGATACCATCATTGTGAGAAGATATGTTTGACAAACCAGCTAGGTACATGTCACACCAAGCATGCAGTGCAGTGTGTTGTGCATGAACCTATACCTCTCCTCCAAAACCTTGTGTTACAGGCATGTGTCTGCAAATAGAAGTCTTGGATCTTTTGAGATGTAACGGCGGTTATTAATTACAATATGGTTAAATAAGAAGCATCTTAGACAACAGTACTTACTGTTGTTGTTGTTGCTGTTGTTGTTGTTGTAATCTGGCATCTGAGTGCAAGTGCGTGCTTCAAATAATACCTCACGTGTGAGACATCCGTGCCTTTGGTTGGCTGAAACAATGTTGTGCAAGCATACAGGTGATGGTTTGAAGTAAAGGCGACAACGTTACCTTTTCCTTGTTGATCCAATATTGATACTCTAACTCTAACAACAAAAACTATAACAGCTTGAGATTCAAACTGAGGCCCAGTGATAGGAAAAAGAAATGACTTCATTTCGACTTCCTTTCCAACTAAACCTTTGAGTCTGTCTATAGCCTTTAACTGGTAAATAACAAGATTGAAATTAACAATTAGAAGGGTATTTTCACGGGTGCAAATATGTGAAAATAAAGCTAATCCAGACGGATGGAATTCCTTTGAGAGCTAAAATGCCGACTCTGAAACTGTCCAGTCTCTATAGTTCGGGTAGAGTTGGAGCGCCTTGCTGGGATTCGAACCACAGACCTTCTTATGCGAAGTCGACCGCCTTGTCCACATGACCAAAGAGGTTGAACCTTCAGCAAGCTGACAAGATAACAATATCATCTGTGGGATGACACCATGCCCTGCTGCACTTCTGTTAGAATGAATTATGAAAATTATAGCTTGCAGATTACAGGATTCATTCTTGGAAATCGTTTGAGAGAAAAAATCGGAATTGTACGTGCGAAACCTGGTTATTTACGATTGACAAAAAGCATCACGCATTTTGGAGGCTTTAATTCGGCTCAGTGGGGAAGCACCTGATTGGGCTTGTCACGGCGATTGCCGAGCGCTACACTTAGTTCTGCAGAGCGCAATCGTCTACCCTTACAGTTACGTCCTTGACTGCAGACCACTGAAGTGAATCGGAATGTACCCGAGCAAGGGATGTAATCGGATATCAGATCCATTGTCCTTTTCGCCAAAGTGATATAGTTTAGCAGGCCACGAAAGGAGGCAAACAGGCAAATCCTATTTCCAACCTTAAGATGACATGATGAAACGACAAATAACAGGTATTTATCTCACGATCTCTTCACGTTCCATGTATCACATTTAATCATACATTAAAGCACATCGTTGTTAATTGAGGCCGTTGGAGCTGGTGTATCGCTTACTTTCGGCTTTCCATTGCAACCACCTCAAACGCAGCCGCCACAAGCGCGAAGTTATTTTGAGTGTATAACATCACAGAAAATATACGTCAGTTCGATCCAGGATTCCTGGATTACCAACTCATGACCATTATCACGCTGATTTTACAGATCAGTTTGGTAAGTAAATGCATTCTATGTTTACTCAGCGTTGTTTATGTAGAAAATAAGAAGGCTAATGTTGGTATTGACTAAACGTTAAGATGTTCTACCAAAGTTCCCCATACAATATTAGGTAGATAGAGAATGCTACCTAGCCAATTATCTATTTTCTTACTATGTGTGTGTTCCTGTGTCCCAAAGGAATTGATCTGGAACACCTGTGATCAACATCGGCCTTTAACGAACATGTAATATATACAAAGATGAGAGAGAGAGAGAGAGAGAGAGAGAGAGAGAGAGAGAGAGAGAGAGAGAGAGAGAGAGAGAGAGAGAGAGAGAGAGAGAGCGAGAGAGAGAGAGAGAGAGAGGAGGGAGGGAGGGGAAGGGAAGGGGGAGGAGATGGAAGAACAGGTACTTTCATATATTGAAGGTCGCATCAGTATTTTATTAGTTGCTAGCGGAAAAGACACACTCGTAAACTGATATCCTAGCTGGTTTTAATTTCAACTGAGTCCCACAACAATAGGCCTGCTTCAGGATTGCGCGCAGCTTACAATACAACTTGGGTTGACATCTGTGATTGCTTTACAGGGTTGTTGAGATACGTAATGTAGAATGATGATAATTTATAGATGTACAACTTCTCTATTCTGTGAAAGGTGACGTTTCGACATAGATTCTCATGTCAATCATTCTTCATCACCTCAACTTCTAAAATGCCAATCAAAGAAGTCAAACCTATTGTATTCAAGCAAGTGGTGTTATAACGAGGTTTGTCTTCCAGCAAAAGCACGACTTAGAATCTTTATTTCACCAAGAGGAAGAACGAAAATTTAAGAATTAAGAGAATGTCAACAACATAAATCAGCGAAAGTGTCTCGCTACACTCATTGATTAAGAAAGAAGGAACTGTGAGATACATTCGTTGACATATAATTACATTCAAATCCTTAGAGGGGTCATAACATTGAGTAGTGCTTTTTATTTTGCGTATTACCGAGGCAAGGGAGGTAACTGATTATAAACAGTCCAGTCTTCACACTCGCTGAACTCGGCGTTGATTTCTGCTGAAGTAACGAATTCATGCATAGTGAAGTCAAAATCACGAACAGGATTCGACGTCCTGGCAACTCACGTACACGTTCACATATCACTTACGAAATTAGAAAAAGGTTTTTGTCGCCTCTATTATGCTACAATCTACATGCATCAGGTGTCTGTGAGATAGGGACTGAGAAGCTTTTTTTCGATAAATTGATCATATCGCCTCGACTGGGTTCGGCCATGTTGTTTAAACCAAATGCCAGTAATATGAGAGGGTGGAATCTGATTGGTCATTCAGAGATAAATAGCAGAAACAGAACATGTAATATACATCAAATTGTTAGCATTAGTGTTTCTTTTTTAGAAATTATATTCTCACCGGAATTCGACATCATTTATTTCTACAAACGATCACAAAATACATTTTGTGTCATTCATTTGCATGTTATTTGAAGACATCTCCCCAAAGTTCTCTATATTAAATGGTATAATGTGATGTAACATGTTAGCAGGTAACGGTCACACGGATGGCCCAGTTGTCTAAGGGACGTAATTAGCTGTGCAGAGTTGCCTCCCTTAGACATTATTCGAATCGTAAGTTCGCTCCTATTGTGCTTCTCTGTTTGTAAGATCGTGAATGTCACCAAAAAGGTAAACATTTAAGACGATTCATAGGTTTTAACACGATCTAAAATTTAAACAACCAGGAATCATAATTAATTAGGTGAAAAACTACTTTCCAGTGTGTACTGTCATTGTGTTTCAGAAACCATGTACGTGAAAGTATTGACGTGTCTGCTCCTGATAAAGGGTGTGACATGCAGCAGCCTTGCCAGTGGCTGTCACACCAGCTACAGTGCAGCCTACCAGGGTAAAATCACCAACTGTCAAAAGCAGAATCTCACTCAAGTGCCATCAGATCTTCCTAAGGACATCATAGGTTTGAATTTACAAGATAACCTACTCACCAGTATACTCAACAACAGTTTTAGCACTTTACGGAAGCTGAGATTCCTATTCCTCAGCCACAATCCGTTAAAGACAATGCAGAGGGAAGCTTTCAGAGGTCTGGATAAACTGGAAACCTTGGAAATGTCTTGTGACACGCTTTCATTGGACGTAACAACGTACCCAGATGGGCTGTTCCAGCATCTAGTTCATCTGAAGAAATTGGTTCTTATAGGAAGTATAAATGATGACGCACCATTTCCTACTGATATTGTACAAGGCCTAAACAGCCTAGAAGAGCTTCATATTAACTCATGGCCTGAAGGCGGAAAGTGGCCTCAATTAGATCTAGTGAAAGACACACTCACATTTCTGGACATCGACACAATTGGAGTACCTATTCTTAGAAACACAACATTTCAAGCTTTGCGTGACATTCCACTGAAAGTATTTTTTGTACATGGACAACTAACAAACATAGAAGCAGGAACATTTTGTCCCTTTACGAACCTAACCAAGCTTTTGATATCTACCTCGTATGGAAGCTCAATTAAGTTAGTATCTATAACAAGAGCACTTCAGTGTTTGGCTGGAAGAAAATTGGAGGAAATAATTCTAACCCGAGTTGTAACCACAGGAGAAAGCAGTGTGACCCTAACAGAGGAAATGTTCAGTTATCTTTCAGATATATGTGTAAAGAAAGTGGACTTGTCAAACAATAAGATCACGAACATTGATGCTAATGTCATAACCAATTCCACCTTTTTCAGATGTATAGAATATCTTGACTTGTCCAAAAACATGTTTAGGGGGGGTATGATGAAACCTGTTTTCATTAACATGCAATTCTTGGAAAATCTTAAATATTTAGATTTGTCTTCAATCAATAGAATGAGCAGCTCTCTCAGTCACACATATAACACTACAACACGAGGAGGATTTTATCTCCCAATACCTCCCAAGCTGAGATATCTGAACCTGAGCGGAGTTGCTAAGTATACCATTGTGAATTTTGATTTAACCCTGACACAAAGCGATCATCTGTCTGTGGTTGACTTTTCAAGAAACGATCTTTTAGACATTCCTACATATTTAGAATGTTGTAAAAACCTGCACCTTTTGAACATATCGCACATGAAGATCCAACAGAATGTATTCAACAACACCAACATGGTGACGAATTTGGAAACATTGCTTGTTAATGATGTGACGTCAGATGATGACATGTTTGTGTCCCCAACTGAACCCTTCTTCCATGCCATGCCCAAACTAACAAGACTCGATCTGTCAGGCAATAATCTACAACTTATCAACAAAAATACTTTTAGAAACTTTATCAAACTGGAAAACCTTTCTCTTGCAAGAAACCGACTAAAAGACCTTCCGGAAGAAATCCTGACAATGGTTTGGCTCAAACATTTGGATGTGACATCGAATTCCCTCTCAGTCATCACTAAATTCCAACAGACCTTGCTTGATGACATCATTGTGAATAACGGCTCCTTCTACCTCTACTTGGCAGGCAACATCTTCAGCTGCAGCTGTGAAACCCTTCACTTCATACAGTGGTTACAGGAAACTAATGTATCTTTAGATTACCATGGCAACTACAGTTGTATCCTTGGTGATGGAACGTTATCTGATACAGCCACCTTTTATGCCAGAAGGACATTCCATTGGAGAACATGTGTTGGCTATTTCTGGATGAGCGTGGCCATAATAGGAACCCTGATTGCGTTGTTGTCTTTGCTTGTAGCCTTTCTTGTCAAGACCTATTTCCCAAGAATAGAGCACCATTTGTTACAGGTGCTTGGTTATAACCCCGGACGCCGACCACAAAGAAAGGATTTTGATTATGACGCCTACATATGCTATGAAAGTGCTCAGTACGATTGGCCTTACCACTGTCTGTTCAAGGAGCTCCCCCACGTCTCCCCAGGTATACGACTGTACCTGCCTGATCTACATGACCCTGTAGGATGTTCCCAGGCAGAAGTGACCATTGATGCATTGTCGAGAAGCTGGAAAATTGTTATTGTGCTAACAGAGAACTTTCTGAAGGACGAGTGGATTCACTTTACTGTCCTGTCCACTGTGAGACTAATGTCCGTGAACAACGCAATATCGGACCGAGTGCTGCTTCTGTACAGGGATATGTCCTTGGAAGCAAGAGCTCGGGTTCCCTCGTCTTCTCCTCAACGTTGTTTCAGAGGAACATATTCTGGATGTGGAGGACAGCCCTCACTTCTGGACACATCTGTGTCAGTGTATCCTTAACGATAAACCCACAGCCTTATTCTAAAGTGTACCACTCTTCTGAGTCACTCCCTGCCAGTGTACACGTCACAAATCAGGTGAATGTAAGCAACGCTGGTGGCGGAGAGACGTTGGATGGGTGACAGTTTTCTTCACCTTGGCTCTTGAAATATGTGAAGGATATTTGGGGTCTCCTGGTACAAGTGTCTTTGTTCAAAATATGCCTCCGTTGAAGAAGCAGTGAATGGGTACCTGGTATAAGGTAATCGTAATTTGAACGTAATGTGACCTTGGTTCTGTATTCTCCTGATAGCCAAGGATGAGTATTGGCTTGTCAAAACGAATCATTTTCAACTTAGCATAAAAAGAAGGAATGTTCACTTTCGTTGGTGTTCCAAGCATTATTTTTCAACTTCCAAAGTACAAGAAAACAAAAAGTGTTAGAAAATCATAAAAAGTTGGTGAGTAACTTTGACATTTGGCATGTGCTCAGCTCCACTTTTTTCACAATTGAAGTTGAAACCCATTTCAGATTCTATTTCCCATCAACAAAAAGGACAGTAATTATGTTTTATTTGAACATATCACATTTTATGGATGAACTTTATATTGCCAGGACATGAAGAAAATGGAACCCTAATTATAGTTACGACATGATGTGCATGGTTGTTAGACAACAATGTGCGCACGAGATGCATCACGACAGCCGTATATTTATGTTGTTAGCGAAAAACTAGTTCAGATGATAAATTATTGTTAATATTGTCATAGGGTACTCTTACGTATTGTGAAACAATGTTCCAAGTGTAATACATCGTACTAGTGGAAAGTCAGCCAGAGTCAGTGGTGTGCAATATTTAGACTTGTAGTAGATTTAGACAGAATGATCTGATCTACTTTCTCCATTCACACCATTTTGTCAACTCATTGGCTGCTTTCTCCATCTTGTCTCCCAGAGTACGAAATATACGTTCAGCATTCAAAACTTTGGTTTAATTATGGCTGATATAACTGGCGATGCCTTTCGTTTTTTTACATCCTTTCATTTTCTTACTACTAAAGTAACGACTTTCTTCTACCCTTTATTCTCTTGGGTATATGCTGCCCAAAATATCTTCTTTAAATGTATTTTATTACAAATATACAATGTGGCTCCCGAAAAAGTACTGTTGATCATCGATTGGAATCCTTTGTAAAAAAGTCATAGTTTCTATCAAACTGTCCTCCTACACTTATGTAGTAGATCATTAGTCCGCTCGAAACTTGATTATGGCTCCATCCCATATGGTGTAGTCTATCAAGGCAACCTTGTACTATTACATTCTGTCCACTATCTAAGACTGTTTTGGAACTTTCAGAGCCTCCCCTACTGACAGCTTTTAGATCGATGAACTTTCTTTGAAACATCGCTTTAGCAAATTATCTTTACAATATAGACCAATACTATATTCTAATGAGTCCAAAACTGCATACAAATATCTCTTATCCCGTCCATTAGAAATAAGAATAAACCTTTCATTTCTGATGCTGGAATTGAGCTAAAACATATATCTCCTTCCCCGTTTTTTAAATTCTCCTCCTAGGCAATTGGTGAGACCACAAGTCGACCTAACACTGACCACATTAAAGACGTCAGAAACAAACGAATTACAGTGTAGACACGAGGTTAGTCAATTAAGAAATACACATAATACGTATAAATCCTTATTTACAGATGGATCCAAGGATAGTGGCCCTATTGCTTGTACCACTGTCATTAGATCCAGAACAATACGTTTTCGTGTCGAATACTAAATAACAGCTTAATTTTCACAACCGAAGCACACGTCATATTAACAGCTCTTAAATATACTAATAAATACTCTAAATATAAGCAATAACTCATTTTTTTCAGACTCGCCTTGAGTCTATTACAAAATGTATTATGTTAACATGCACTTGTGATTGAAATACTTGAATTTTGTAATGATCTTGCTACTGGCCAATGTGATATCTTCCTCTGTTGGTTACGCAGCCATGTTGAAATTTCTACTAACACAATGGCCGATTCTGCTGCTAACGTAAAACTCGACAAATCTGTGACTCCACTTCTCATCCCAAATTCTGATTACAAAAGCGTGATGAGATCTTACATCCGTGACTTAATACAAAAGTGGGACACCCAAGCAAGTATCAATAAATTATCTCAAATAAAACCAACTTTCGGTTACACCTGATCAGTTCAGAAGATGTTATTATGCGACGATGTCTCATTGGCCATACAAGATACACTCATGAGTATTTATTGAAAGGTGAGTATCCTCCATATTGTATCCCTTGTAATGAGAGAATCATGGTCAACCAGGTCCTGCCTGACACTATTGATTTTTCTATCACAAGGGAAAACTATTTCAAATCACTTGGAGGATCACTGAAGGATCTCTTTGCTAATATAAGTTCTCATTTAATGTTTTATATATTTTTAATTGACTGATGCATTTTGATGTACATAGTGTTATTATATAGAGAGATAATACATGAATATTTACTGTGATTTGTAGTGGCTTAGTCTTGGCTTTCTGTAAAATTCGGTTAAAATTTCGGTTAAAGTTCTGTAAAATTATTGTTCCCTTGAGAAGTTTTGAAACCCCACTTCAATCACAGAATATGTATATTTTCCACCGTTTCTAATAATAGAATATTTGTACTTTGTAGAATATGGTTAACACTACGCACTATCGCTAGCAGCTGAAGGAATGGCATAAATCAAGCTAAGAAACCGTGCAGTAAGCAGATCTATTGCATGTCCCTACGACCCCTAGTGTAATTGCCGAACTTCCGTTGCTAGCGATCTCTTGCCAATTTGTATTTCGTATCGTTAATCCTTTGTGTAATATTTTAATATTCCTGGAGATAGTTGCATGTGATATGTGATAGCCTAGTTTTACTGTCCTTCGTTGACAGAGTTTTATATGTATTTATCATGAATGTGGAACCTGTTTAAGTCACGATACAGCAGAAATACTGCCCATCTTAACTCACTCACTCACTCACTCTTAAGGGTATAAATAAAAGATTCCGGTGTTACACCACTAATCATTGTGAAAGATATGTTTGACACACCAGCTAGGTACATGTCACACCGAGCATGGTGTGCAATGTGTTGTGCTTGAACCTACACCATTCCTCCAAATCCTTGTGTTACAGGCATGTGTCTGCAAATACAAGTCTTAGATCTTTTGAGATGTAACCACTGTTATTAACTACAATATGATTAAATATTAAATACCCCGGACTACTGATTGTTTTTTTCTAATCTGGCATCTGAGTTCAAATGGAAAGTGTGTGCTTCAAATAACACCTCACGTGTGAGACGTTCGTGCCTTTGATTCGCTGAAACAATGTTGTGCAAGTATACAGGTGATGGTTTGCATTTAATGCAACAACTTAAACTTTTCCTTGTTGATCCAATATTGATACTCTAACAACAAACTATAACAGCTTGAGATTCCAACTGAGGCCCAGTGATTGGAGGAAGAAATGACTTCATTTCGGCTTCCTTTCCAACTGAACCTTGCAAGCTGACAAGATAGCAATATCATCTTTGGTATGACACCATGCCCTGTTACACTTATGTTAGAATGAATTATGAAAATTATAGCGTACAGATTACAGAATTTATTCTTAGAAATCTCTTGAGAGAAAATATTAAAATTACACATTCCCTGCAAGAAACGTGGTTATGTACGACTGACAAAAAGCATCATGCATTTACGGACAGGTCCACGAAAGGAGGTTGTGTGTTTGTCATTATAAACCACAACTGGCAAATGCTACTTCCACCCGTAAGACGACATGATATGATGAAACGACAAATAACAGGGAGAGGGAATGAGAGAGAGAAATAGTTTATTCTGGTGTCACACATCTGTAACCGACGAAATGTAAAACATACACTATCCCCCCCCAAAAAACGCATAGGTCAGAAATCTGTTGCGAAAATATTGCATTTTCAAGCATGCATAACACGTCCACAAATAGACTTTAGTGCATGGATTTTTACATCAGTTTAGAAAAAGGTCATGTCTATACAACCAGATGGATAATTTTTAGTTAACGGAGACCTTGAGCGCGATGGCGACGACGTAGCACGGTCCCGACGTCGGGTCTCGTCGGGTCTCTCAGTCCAATCTCTCTCAACCCGTTCCGTACCGTTTGACCGGATATCCTCCGAAGTCCAGGCACCCTGGCTGTTGTGGCAGTACGATCACGCAAATGTACTACCCAGATGTACCGATCTTGGGCGAAAGTGGTGACTCGAAGTCTGCCTGTGCGGGGACGGTCAAATGTTATAGGTGTTTGGTTGTAACGAGCTGCAGGCCGTGACATCGTGCTCAGCCTGGCAACTGAAGATTAATAAACTCCAGCGTGCATTCTTGCAATGGCAATGTTCCTTGTCGCAGCGTCAAGACGTGGCGTAGTGATTTGACCTTGAAACTTCTTCAAAACGAATGTCGATTTCCGAAAGTAATCTGGAGGTTTATAGCCAGACAGTTCATGCTTTTTGCTGCACAATTTCAACCTCAAGGTGATTTCTGTTGCGTTGTGGCGATGCCTTCTTAATCCTTGTAAGAAATCTCATCAAAATCAACATTATCAGGTAGAGTCGATTTTTGACTTGCACAATTGTGTAAAATCATGTTATCAACACTTTTGTTACATATTTTGACGATTGTTTGAACACAATAGGTAATTAATAGATTTTTATAAATACAAAATGCCTATGCGTTTCTTTTTGTGGATAGTATATTAAGATGTACATAGCAAAATGTACATAAAAATGCGAACAGTTGTCCGTTCCCGTGGCCTATGAGACACTTTTTACGTATAAAACAATAAATAGTGATAACAGACATTTTCAGATTAAAACGGTACAACAGATATATTAGAAATAAAGTGGGAAGAGGGCATGTGTATGTATTCGTGTGACTGCTTGACGACCCTTGAACATTGTTGTTAGAGTAGTTGCTAGAAGCGGCTGTAAATTATCACACTGCAGCAAGAAAATAAACTTCATTTCTTCATTATAATCTACAAAGGATGGGTTTATTGTCTCTGCTTCATTCCACAGGGTAGACTTAAGGTATGAATACAATTTACTAAATAATGTCGTTCATCTTCAATGGTATTTGTATTATTGCAATATCTGCAAATTCTGTTTTCCAACGGAATAGAAGGCTTGGTGTAACAGCCAGTCTCTATAGCTAAAGGGAGACAACCACTCCGAACTTGGCGAGAAAACTTCTCTTTTCCAAACACGGTTTACATGAGGGCAAACAACAGAGTCATGTTTAAAACATCTATAAGTTCTTAGTTTATTACCATTCATTTTCACGGTGTCATCCCACACTTTCTGAGATGACTCCAAGCTATCTCGGTAAGGAAAAAAATTCTTTTAAGAACTGTATTTTTTCTGTACACTCCAGTTTTCAGTAATAATCCACTGAGCACAAAATCTGTGAAGGGACTTGATAGTTTTGTTAATCCAAGACTTGTTAATTTTACAGGACCAGTCAGTTTGTTAGGGACACTTCCTCTTCGCCACAGTGGAATCTATAGTTCATAGGGGTACATGAGCCTGGTATGAAATTGACGAGTTTAGTCTTGCTTGTATTAATCATCAGTCTCCATTGAAAACACCACACAGATAAAACATTCAGCCTTTGGTGAAGAAATTCTTCATTTGGAGCAATAAAAGCAACATCATCTGCATAATATAACAAGGAGAGCATTGAATCTTCAAACTGTATCCCACATATTTCTTCTGCAAGGTCATTGATATAGATTGAAAACAAGGTGGCGGACATCTTACAGCCCTGTTTAACTCCCAATGATACAGTGCATGGAGGTGGCGGACATCTTACAGCCCTGTTTAACTCCCAGTGATACAGTGGATGGAGGTGGGGGACATCTTACAGCCCTGTTCAACTCCCAGTGATACAGTGGATGGAGGTGGCGGACATCTTACAGCCCTGTTTAACTCCCAGTGATACAGTGGATGGAGGTGGGGGAGATCTTACAGCCCTGTTTAACTCCCAGTGATACAGCGGATGGAGATGTGTTTACTTCATTAATTGCAACTTGACTCTTGACATCATCACACATGTTCTGGATAGCACTAAGGATTTTGCCATGGATTCAGATCTTCATCAGTTTGTACCATAAACAGGACATGTTAACATTTTTAAGTCCACAAAGCACACAAATGTACTGTTTTGTATCAGATTGCACAGAGTATACAAAAGATCAATACAGTTTCTTTTAGGGTGGAAAACATATTCTTCATCTACAACAATGTTGTTATCCTCAATCCATTGCTGCTGCATCTTTTGGTTCAGGATATCCCATACAGTTTACATGGAATTGATGTTATTGTAACACCCCGATAGCTGAGAGGCTCCCGTACATCCCCACCGGGTTTAGGAATGGGTTGTATAAGACCATGATTCCATAGCTTGGGTGCTACAGAGTTTTCAAAACAGTGGTTAATAATCCTGTGTAAAAGTCTGATGCAGCGGGGGTTCTCAATTACCCCTGGTATATCATCAGTACCATCAGCTTTACCTTTCTTCAATCTCATCACAGCATGTTCTACCTCACTAAAGTCTATGCTCTTGTTCATGTTATTGACATCCGGGCACTCAGCGGAGTGTAATACACAAACTGAATCGGCTTCACTTCTGAAAAACTCTTCATTGAAGTTGCCGATAGAAGTATTATACAAGTTGCTATAGGAATCGTGAATGGAGTACAGTGTTGTGATCAGTTATGATGTCACCATCTGTTCACTTCCATAGGAATCTGTGATATTATTTCACTTGCAATACCAAGATTTCCAATTTTGTTCCAGAAATCCTTCGTATTATTATTTATTTCTAGTTGATGGAGTTCTTCCTGCTTCTGTAGTTGAAACTTCCTCTTAGACTTTCTTAGAAGTTTGTCCACCTGTTTTCTTTTGACCATGAAAAGATGTTTATTATAAGATACAGCAGGGTTCTTTCCCTTGCACGACAACCACCTCTTCTCCAGTTCACACACTGAGTCCCACGTATCCGGCAGCCCAGGGCTCCAGTAGGGTTTGTATTTTGATTTACACTGGGTCCCTTTTTACCTTAGTAGTGTTGAGCTTCTTACGCTTTGCATGCATTTCATCTTTAACCAGCTTCACAACGGCATCTTATGCGTTGTCTGTATCCACTAGTCAAGATCTAGTTCACATACTATGGACTTGTTGACACACATACCGCCATCAAGTGGTATAGTTCCAGCAAAGAATGATCGGGTATTTTGACATTACCATTCATGTGGACCATGTTAATCACATCCGACATAAGGTGAACTGTGAACTCGTGAACTCAGAAACATATTGGAGTTTTTCGTGAGGGAGACCAATATAGTCTACCACAGCTCGCCCCTTACTTGATACAGATGTAAAATTATTCTAGCCTTCCATTTATCATACACAAATTGGCACCAGTGAGAAAGTTCAACATTAATTCACCATGTGAGTTAAAGCCTTCATCGAGAGAGACACGTGCTGGCTTAACATCCACATTTTCAATATTATCTGATACATCCGAGCGGCGTGCGTTCCAGTCTCCAGCTAGCATGAGCTTCGAGCTTGCCCCCATTCTGATATTGATATACACCCTCAAGCAGATGGGTAAAAGAAAACTTCTGGATGGAGGTGGGGGAGATCTTACAGCCCTGTTTAACTCCCAGTGATACAGCGGATGGAGATGTGTTTACTTCATTAATTGCAACTTGACTCTTGACATCATCACACATGTTCTGGATAGCACTAAGGATTTTGCCATGGATTCAGATCTTCATTAGTTTGTACCATAAACAGGACATGTTAACATTTTTAAGTCCACAAAGCACAAAAATGTTCTGTTTTGTATCAGATTGCAAAGAGTATACAAAAGATCAATACAGTTTCATTTAGGGTGGAAAACATATTAGTCATCTACAACAATGTTATTATCCTCCATCCATTGCTGCTGCATCTTTTGGTTCAGGATATCCCATACAGTTTACATGGAATTGATGTTATTGTAAAACCCCGATAGCTGAGAGGCTCCGCGTACAGCCCCGCGGGTTTAGGAATGGGTTGTATAAGACCATGATTCCATAGCTTGGGTGATACACAGTTTATTACGTCACCGTCTGTTCACTTCCATAGGAATCTGTGATTTTCTTTCACATGCAATACCATGATTTCCAATTTTGTTCCAGAAATCCTTCGTATTATTATTTCTTTCTAGCTGATGGAGTTCTCCCTGCTTCTGTAATTGAAACTTCCTCTTAGACTTTCTTTGAAGTTTGTCTAACTCTTTTATTTTGACCATGAAAAGATGTTTATGATACGATACAGCAGGGTTCTTTCCCTTGCACGACAACCACATCTTCTCCAGTTCACACACTGAGTCCCACGTATCCGGCAGCCCAGGGCTCCAGTAGGGTTTGTGTTTTGATTTACACTGGGTCCCTTTTTACCTTAGTAGTGTTGAGCTTCTTACGCTTTGCATGCATTTCATCTTTAACCAGCTTCACAACGGCATCATATGCGTTGTCTGTATCCACTTTGTCTAGAAGTTGACTTTCAGTAAACTGTATTGTCTCCTCTACTTTTCCAATAGTTTCACTGCCATTGAAGAAATGACTTGGTAGGTTGTTAAGAGCATAACGCTCTGTGTTCGTCGACAGATCTAGTTCGAAAACTCTGGGCTTGTTGACACACATACTGCCATCAAGTGGTAAAGTTCCAGCAAAGAATGATCGGGTATTTTGACATTACCATTCATGTGGACCATGTTAACCACATCCGACATAAGGTGAACTGTGAACTCAGAACCATAATGGAGTTGTTCGTGAGGGAGACCAATATAGTCTACCACAGCTCGCCCCTTACTTGATACAGATGTAAAATTATTCTAGTTTTCCATTTATCATACACAAATTGGCACCAGTGAGAAAGTTCAACATAAATTCACCATGTGAGTTAAAGCCTTCATCGAGAGAGACACGTGCTGGCTTTACATCCACATTTTCAATATTATCTGATACATCCGAGCGGCGTGCGTTCCAGCCTCCAGCTAGTATGAGCTTGCCCCCATTCTGATATTGATATACACCCTCAAGCAGATGGGTAAAAGAAAACTTCTGGAACAGATGCCCTTGTTGAACCGGCTGGTGGTAAGTATGAAACACAGATACACTGTTCCGAGGAGTGTTTGTTGGTAACAACAAGCCACATGATATCTTCAATATGGTTGTCTATCACTTCAACAGTATGAGTGGATAAAAAGTGATTATCAATAAGTACCCCTACTCCACCAGAACCTCACTTAGCCCCAGCCCATACCATGTAAAACCTCGCAAATTAACGGCATCATTATTCTTTTTAAAAAGTTTCACACAAACATTAAATATCAAATTTAACATCATTCACAACTTTGACTCTGAAAGAATTGTTATCACAGTTCTGGTTGGACCAGCCTCCCACATTCCAAAGACCAAGCCTTATTTCCTATTGTCCATTATCAGAAGTGTTTGTTTTTCTAGTAACATAACCATTCTTACTGAGCACTAAGTTACTATCTTTACCTAGGTCTCGCAGAACTGTCTTCATATTAGCATGGGTTTTCCTTGCTTCTACAAACATGTGATTTTCAGTGAACACTTTATTGTAGGATGAGTGGTTCTTAGTTTCTTCTTTTCTTTCATCAGTTTTTCTTTCTGTTCAGCTGTCTCAACACACGCGACAATAACACTTGGGGCCTTGCCCTTGGACTGCTTTCGTTCAACTTTATCTCACGACCTCTTTACGCTCCATATACCACATTCAGTCATACATCAAATCACTTCCTGGTTAACCGAGGCTGTTGGAGCATGTTTATCGTTTACATTCAGCCTTCCACTGCCACGGCGTCAAACACATCGGTCACAACTGCGATGTTATTTAGAGTGTACAGACAACATACGTCAGATAGCTGCATTCCTGGATCCTCGGCCGACTTTGATCACCAACTGATGACCATTATCATAATGTTTATACTAATCAGTTTGGTAAGTCAACTCATTATATGTTTACTCTGCGTTGTTTAAGTATAAAACAAGAAAAGGTGATGTTGTTATTCACTAAACGTTAAGATGTTCTACCAAAACTCTCCATACCAATATTACGTAGTAGAGAATGCTAGCTTCCAGTTATCTATTTTCGTACTGGCGCATATGTGTGCCTGTGTATGAAACGAATTGATCTGGAACGCCTGTAGGTGAACATCGGCCTTTCACTTTACAGAGAGAGAGAGAAGAGACAGAGAGAGGGAGAGAGGGGGTAGGGGAAGGGGAAAGAACAGGTACATGAGAGAGAGAGAGAGAGGGGTGAGACGCAGAAGTGAGAGAGAGAGGGGCTGGGGGGAGCTGGTGGGAACAGGTATATTCATATATTGAAGGTATTTATCGTCGGTGGGTAGCGGGAAAGGATAAGCACACAAGTTGTATGCACACATTCTTTGATCACTCGTAATATGATGGAGCGTTGTCTGGTTATTTCCATTTACGTCCCACAACAATAGGCCGGGAGGCGGGGATAGGGTGAAGGGGATAAGAAGAGGTAGATTCATTCAGATCAGTCGTTCTAAATTCTTCAGGGGGTTAACACATTCATCGACTCGTAAACTGATATCCTGGTTGTTATTTCCATCTACGTCCAACAACAATAGGCCGGCTTCAGGAATGCGCACAGCTTACAATACGACTTGGGTCGACATGGGTCATTGCTTTACCGGGTTGTTGAGAAAAGTAATGTAGAATGATGATAATTTTATGGATGTACAATTTCTCTATTCTGTGAAAGGTGACGTCAAAGGTAATCATTCTTCATCACCTCATCTTCTAAAATGCCAATCAAATATGTCAAACGTAATGTAGTCAAGCCAGTGGCGTTATAACGAGGTCTGTCTTCCAGGAAAACCACTATACACTTGTTAATTAAGAAAGAACGAAATCTAAGCTACATTCGTTGACATTTAATTACGTTCAAATCCATAGACAGATCGCAACAGTGTGTTATGCTTTAGGTGTTGCGTCTTACCTAGGCAAGGTAGGTAACTCATTATAAACAGTCTTGAGTTCAGGGCTTGATGTTTGCTGAACTAACGAGCCTAGGCATAGTGGAGTCAAAATCACGTCAGGAATCGACGTCCTGGTGACTGCCGTTCACATATCGGTCGATTACACTCTTATTACATGATCTCCAAACTATTTTCCAGATCCTGATGAAAGGTGCAACATGCAGCAGCCTTGCCAGTGGCTGTCACACCAGCTACAGTGCAACATACCAGGGTAAGGTCACCAACTGTCAAAAGCAGAATCTCACTCAAGTGCCATCATATCTTCCTAAGGACATCGTAGTTTTGGATTTACAAGATAACCTACTCGCCAGTATACCCAACAACAGTTTTAGCACTTTACGGAAGCTGAGATTCCTATTCCTCAGCCACAATCCGTTAAAGACACTGCAGAGAGAAGCTTTCAGATGTCTGGATAAACTGGAAACCTTGGAAATGTCTTGTGACACGCTTTCATTGGACGTAACAACGTACCCAGATGGGCTGTTCCAGCATCTAGTTCATCTGAAGAGATTGGTTCTTATAGGAAGTATAAATGGTGACGCACCATTTCCTACTGATATTGTTCAAGGCCTGAAAAGCCTGGAAGAGCTGCATATTAACTCATGGCCTGAAGGTGGAAAGTGGCCTCAATTAGAACTAGTGAAAGACACACTCACATTTCTGGACATCGACACCATTGGAGTACCTATTCTTAGAAACACAACATTTCAAGCTTTGCGTGACATTCCACTTAAAATGTTTTTGGTAAATGGACTCCTAACAAACATCGAAGCAGGAACATTTTGCCCCTTTACGAACCTAACCAAGCTTTTGATATCTACCTCGTATGGAAGCCCAATTAAGTTAGTCTCTATAACAAGAGCACTTCAGTCTTTAGCTGGAAGAAAGTTGGAGGAAATAATTCTAACCCGAGTTGTAACCACAGGAGAAAGCTGTGTGATGCTAACAGAGGAAATGTTCAATTATCTTGCAGATATATGTGTAAAGAAAGTAGACTTGTCAAACAATAAGATTACTCAGTTGATGGTAATGCCATAACCAATTCCACCTTTTTCAGATGTATAGAATATCTGGACTTGTCCAAAAACATGTTTAATGGTGGCATGATCAAACCTGTTTTAATTAACATGCACTTCATGGAAAATCTTAAATATCTAGATTTGTCTCAAGTCCATAGAATCAGCAGTTCTCTCACTCATACATATAACACTACCACACTGGGAGGGCTTTATCTCCCAATACCTCCCAATCTCAGTTATCTAAACCTCAGCGGAGGTGCCAAGGCTAACCATGTACGTGTTCGTGTAACACTGACACAAAGCGATCATCTGTCTGTCTTTGACTTTTCAAGAAACGACGTGTTAGACATTCCTACATATTTAGAATGTTGTAAAAACCTGAAACTCTTGGACATATCGCACATGAAGATCCAACAGAATGTATTCAACAACACCAACATGGTGACGAATCTGGAAACATTGCTTGTTCACGATGTGACGTCAGATGATGACATGTTTGTGTCCCCAACTGAACCCTTCTTCCATGCCATGCCCAAACTAACAAGACTCGATTTGTCAGGCAATAATCTACAACTTATCAACAAAAATACTTTTAGAAACTTCAACAAATTGCAAAACCTTTCTCTTGCAAGAAACCGTCTGAATGACCTTCCGGAAGAAATCCTGACAATGGTTTGGCTCAAACATTTGGATGTGACATCGAATTCCCTCTCAGTCATCAGTAAATATCAACAGACCATGCTTGATGTCATCGTTGTGAAAAACGGCTCCTTCTACCTCTAAATGGCAGGCAACATCTTCAGCTGCAGCTGTGGAACCCTTCACTTCATACAGTGGTTACAAGAAACTGATGTCTCTTTAGATGACCATGGCAACTACAGCTGTATCCTTGGTGATGGAACGTTGTCTGATACAGCTTCCTTTTATGCCAGAAGGACATTCCATTGGAGAACATGTGTGGGCCAGTTCTGGTTGGCTGTGAGCGTAGTTGGAAACTTGATTGCGCTGTTGTCTTTGCTTGTAGCCTTTCTCGTCAAGAAATATTTGCCCAAAATAGAGCACCATGTGTTACAGGTGCTTGGTTATAACCCCGGACGCCTACCACAAAGGGAGGATTTTGATTATGACGCCTACATATGCTATGAAAGTGCTCAGTACGATTGGCCTTACCACTGTCTGTTCAAGGAGCTCCCTCTAGTCTATCCAGGTATACGACTGTACCTGCCCGATCTACATGACCCTGTAGGATGTTCCCAGGCAGAAGTGACCATTGATGCATTGTCGAGAAGCTGGAAAATTATTATTGTTCTAACAGAGAACTTTCTGAAGGACGAGTGGATACACTTTACTGTCCTGTCCACTGTAAGACTAATGTCCGTGAACAACGCAATATCGGACCGAGTGCTGCTTCTGTACAGGGATATGTCCTTGGCAGCAAGAGCTCGAGTTCCTCAATATCTCCTCAACGTTGTTTCGGAGGAACATATTCTGGATGTGGAGGATAGCCCCCACTTCTGGACACATCTGTGTCAGTGCATCCTTAACGGTAAACCCACAGCCTTATTCTAAAGTATATCACTCTTCCGAGTGACTCCATAAGAGTGTCACTAGTGTGACCGTAATGTGACGTGGGTTGTGTATTCTCCTGATAGCCAAGGATGGATATTGGCTTGTCAAAACGAATCATTTTCAACTTATCACAGAAAGAAGGAATGCTCACTTTTGTTGCTGTTTCAAGCATTATTTTTCAACTTCCAAAGTACAAGAAAACAAAAAGTGTTAGAAAATCATAAATAGTTGGTGAGTAACTTTGACATTTGGCAAGTGCTCAGCTCCACTTTTTTCACAATTGAAGTTGAAACCCATTTCAGATTCTACTTCCCATCAACAAAAAGGACAGTAATTATGTTTTATTTGTACATATCACATTTTGTGGATGAACTTTATATTGCCAGAACATGAGGAAGATGGAACCCTAAATAAAGTTACGACATGATGTTCATGGTTGTAAGACAACAATGTGTGGACGATATGCATGACGACAGCCGTATATTTATGTTGTTAGCGAAAAACTAGTTCAGATGATAAAATATTGTTAATATTGTTATAGGGTACTGTTACGTATTGTGAAACAATGTTCCAAGTGTAATACATCGTACAAATGGAAAGTCAGTCAGGGTCAGTGGTGTGCAATATTTAGACTTGTAGTAGATTTAGACAGAATGATCTGATCTACTTTCTCCATCCACACCATTCTGTCAACCCATTGGCTGCTTTCTCTATCTTGTCTCCCAGAGTACGAAATATACGTTCAGCATTCAAAACTTTGGTTTAATTATGGCTAAAACTACTAAACTACTAAAACTACTTCACCAATAATAGCAAACTTCATGAGAACATCCGATAAAAGTGCTGTCTTCATGAAATCCAAGAAAGAATTGAGAAGTAAGGACCTCCGTGTCACAGAGGACTTCACTCAAAAAGTCCGAGAAGAAAGACGCCCTATATCACGGGCCAGACACGGTGGGTGTTGTTGTTTAAACGTCGCGTGGACGACGACTATACACAATCCATTGACATGTTGCACATCGACGTGAAGCTGGTTCCCAGGGCCAACTGGTGGTATCATCAGAAGTGACCTGCCTTTAACGGGTTCGAAGCCGAGGCGCTTTCAAGCCCGATTTGACCCGATTTACGGCCGTATTTCACGCTGCAGATGCTTGTTATGTTTCGTACATCGACCACAGGGTTTTGTCGTTACTATGACTCGGAAGCCCCGGGTCTTAGCTTTCACGTCATGTGCGACACGTGCGATTGTCGTCACGTTTTCCCACCCTTAAAGCCCCCCGAATCTAAGCCCCGTGCGTGTGACGGGAGCCAAAACAGCTCAGATTTCATATCAAATGGGGTTTGATCTCTGCATCCCGCTTGCACCAATCGTCTCGCACCCGGAGAAAGAAACATATGCACGCATATCATATATGAAAATGTTGCCACGTGCACAAGGCACCTGGGATCGTCACGGGGTGGACGTGGGGCACCTGGTTGGACGTCCACGTCCATTGGGCCATCTGATACAGACATGTCTTTTTACCGAGAAAAGAGCCTTCCTCTCCGATCATCTTTTATACGTCGCGTGGACGACAAAAATACACAACCCATTGACATGTTGCACATCGACGTGAAGCTGGTTCCCAGGGCCAACTGGTGGTATCATCAGAAGTGACCTGTCTTTAACGGGTTCGAAGCCGGGGCGCTTTTAAGCCCGATTTGACCCGATTTACGGCCGTATTTCACGCTGCAGATGCTTGTTATGTTTCGTACATCGACCACAGGGTTTTGTCGTTACTATGACTCGGAAGCCCCGGGTCTTAGCTTTCACGTCATGTGCGACACGTGCGATTGTCGTCACGTTTTCCCACCCTTAAAGCCCCCCGAAGCTAAGCCCCGTGCGTGTGACGGGAGCCAAAACAGCTCAGATTTCATATCAAATGGGGTTTGATCTCTGCATCCCGCTTGCACTAATCGTCTCGCACCCGGAGAAAGAAACATATGCACGCATATCATATATGAAAATGTTGCCACGTGCACAAGGCACCTGGGATCGTCACGGGGTGGACGTGGGGCACCTGGTTGGACGTCCACGTCCATTGGGCCATCTGATACAGACATGTCTTTTACCAAGAAAAGAGCCCTGCTCTGCGATCATCTTTATACGTCGCGTGGACGACAAATATACACAACCCATTGACATGTTGCACATCGACGTGAAGCTGGTTCCCAGGGCCAACTGGTGGTATCATCAGAAGTGACCTGTCTTTAACGGGTTCGAAGCCGGGGCGCTTTTAAGCCCGATTTGACCCGATTTACGGCCGTATTTCACGCTGCAGATGCTTGTTATGTTTCGTACATCGACCACAGGGTTTTGTCGTTACTATGGATCGAAAGCCCCGGGTCTTAGCTTTCACGTCATGTGCGACACGTGCGGGTGTCGTCACGTTTTCCCACCCTTAAAGCCCCCGAAGCTAAGCCCCGTGCGTGTGACGGGAGCCAAAACAGCTCAGATTTCATATCAAATGGGGTTTGATCTCTGCATCCCGCTTGCACTAATCGTCTCGCACCGGAGAAAGAAACATAATGCACGCATATCATATATGAAAATGTTGCCACGTGCACAAGGCACCTGGGATCGTCACGGGGTGGACGTGGGGCACCTGGTTGGACGTCCACGTCCATTGGGCCATCTGATACAGACATGTCTTTTTACCGAGAAAAGAGCCTTGCTCTGCGATCATCTTTTATACGTCGCGTGGACGACAAAAATACACAACCCATTGACATGTTGCACATCGACGTGAAGCTGGTTCCCAGGGCCAACTGGTGGTATCATCAGAAGTGACCTGTCTTTAACGGGTTCGAAGCCGGGGTGCTTTTAAGCCCGATTTGACCCGATTTACGGCCGTATTTCACGCTGCAGATGCTTGTTATGTTTCGTACATCGACCACAGGGTTTTGTCGTTACTATGACTCGGAAGCCCCGGGTCTTAGCTTTCACGTCATGTGCGACACGTGCGATTGTCGTCACGTTTTCCCACCCTTAAAGCCCCCCGAAGCTAAGCCCCGTGCGTGTGACGGGAGCCAAAACAGCTCAGATTTCATATCAAATGGGGTTTGATCTCTGCATCCCGCTTGCACTAATCGTCTCGCACCCGGAGAAAGAAACATATGCACGCATATCATATATGAAAATGTTGCCACGTGCACAAGGCACCTGGGATCGTCACGGGGTGGACGTGGGGCACCTGGTTGGACGTCCACGTCCATTGGGCCATCTGATACAGACATGTCTTTTTACCAAGAAAAGAGCCCTGCTCTGCGATCATCTTTTATACGTCGCGTGGACGACAAATATACACAACCCATTGACATGTTGCACATCGACGTGAAGCTGGTTCCCAGGGCCAACTGGTGGTATCATCAGAAGTGACCTGTCTTTAACGGGTTCGAAGCCGAGGCGCTTTTAAGCCCGATTTGACCCGATTTACGGCCGTATTTCACGCTGCAGATGCTTGTTATGTTTCGTACATCGACCACAGGGTTTTGTCGTTACTATGGATCGAAAGCCCCGGGTCTTAGCTTTCACGTCATGTGCGACACGTGCGGATGTCGTCACGTTTCCCACCCTTAAAGCCATCCCAAGCTAAGCCCCGTGCGCTCAGATTTGACTGATCTGTGCGTCCCGTTTGCACTGATCGTCTCACACGCGGAACCCTTTTGCCACTGCTGTATATCAACACAATGGGCCGAAACGACAATTATAGAGTTTGGGAATTACGATAAAATGATGATCTACCGGACAGGGCATAATGCGTTTAAACGTACCTACACATACACTTACGAATGGAAAGCCAGAACTGGGCATTGGCTTTTGACGTCAAGTGGACGCCATCCTTGCCTAACAGTGCAGGTCCCATCCTCATGTGCTGGCTGTGGTCCCAAAAGGTGGCATCAGGCGGCGTCGCAACATCCTCTTCAGCGCCGATTCGTCTCCTCCGCCTTCCGGCTTGTAGGCAGAGACCATCATGTTCCTTGGTTTTACCCTCGGGAACAGACTTCCTATCACTGCTCTGGAGCCGGCCGTTTCCACCGAAGGTAGTCCAGAAGATCCAGCAAGTCCTCAACCAGGTTCTGAGGATCAGTTGACGCCGACACGTCGTTCTCTCCCACTTGAAAGAAAACAATGCCCTGGAAACCTGCATCAAGGGCATCCACCACTGCTTTCATCCGGCGACAGTCGCCCCTCCTATCCCACGCCACGGAAGTGATGATGCCACGTGGAGGGACAGACTTGATCAAGTCGCCGCACGAAGCTATGTCCCAGGATGGCAAAGTGGACGGGCTTTGAAACAGGACCTTTAAAAAGTGTGTAGGCCATGGCTTGAATGAAGTCTTCAACAATGTGTTGTGTCAAACAATGTTAGCACAAGTGCCGTGATGCTTGTATCTGACTGCTAGGTATATATAGCCCAAGCGATTGAAAAGTGTTTGTATTAAGCTCTGCATTGAGGTCACAGAGTCAATCAATCATTCATGGATTAAGGCCGGTTGGTAGCTTAAACCTGACACGACTCACTCATCCCATTCACATATGCGATTAAACAACCGATCAACGATTGGCGCTTTCAGTCGTAATTCCCGCCACTTGGTTGGCTTCCATGTCTCACTCAGAAACTCTCGGATTAGGCATTACAATCAAAACATCAGAGCAGAGCCTGTGTGCCCCACCACAACAAGTGCCTCTGCAAACGTGACGCCAATCAAGGCTCATTTGAAGACAATGAGGTGAGTAAGAACTCACTATGAAGCTACTTTAGGAATGTAATTGTGTGAAGGTGACCTTTAGTAACCAACAATAAGAATTAAATATCACAAAAAACGTGTCTCCGTTTTCTCTTCACATGGAAATAAAGACAATACCAAGGCTAAACGCAGCAAAGAAATCGTTTTATTCATCCTTCCAGACAACATCAAACCAAGTGCAAACATAGCAAAAATTCAGTTTCGCCATC